GAGACATTGTTACAGTTGTGATCTACCATGAATGTAATTCGTTTTATGTGCATAGCAGATTTATTTTGGAATATTTGTTTATTATTCGATGAATATTGATCAGATTGCATCTGTATACAAAAAAAAAACTTCTTGTTTCCCCCGTCGTCTATAATCCTCGCATTCAACAGCAGTTCTTAAAAAAAAACTTGTAGGAATTGGTGAAATTCAGGGAGCTGGTGCGGAGAATAGGGACGACCCAGCGAGGGGGTCGCATGAAAGGTGGAAGTTCCGCCGTTCCGCCCTCCCCAACGGCAGGACGTGTCCTGTTCCCTATCGAGCTTCGTCACCTCTAGCTGGTGTGAGGTGAGCGGTCAGAAAGCGGTCATCTCTTCTTGCTTCTAGATGTGTACTTCTGTTGTTCCGTGTACGAGGGCCGGGCCTAACCAATAGTAATGGTACGGCACACGATTGCTTGAAAGTTGGTCCTCACGTGAAGCGGTCCCGCCCACTGTCGGCCATGTGCCACCCTCACCAGACGAAAGGGACATGGCAATGTCGCGAGAGGGTTGGGAAGCACCACTTTAGCGCGGACTGTTAACCCTAGCGCCGATGTCACCCCTGCCCATTTCTGAGCTCTGGTACGGTCAGAACTTGACTCCTTTTCTGGTGACTGCAGCGATTCCGCTGAATTGGAAGACATTACAGCCTTGTTCGCTGCGGGCGTGAGGTCGCCTGCCAGCATGCACAGTTGGGGGACAACACGGCGCCTCGCGGAACTCAGCCTCACCCCCCCCCCTCCGGGGACGCCCCCGCGTCTAAACAAGGCAGCACCATCAGTTGTTGGAGCTAGTTCTACACTACAGAATGATAATAACAAAAGAAGCAAACCAAAATTCAAAGAAGCAAGTCAATAAGAGCACGCTCAGCGTTCATTTGATATTGAGACAGGAGGTAATTCTGTCCACAAGTATAGAAGATGCATCACATTGTTGCAGCTCAAAAATGCGCGGAGAAGGCGCTACGTGCTCGCGATGGGGGCAACGCCCCGCCCACTGCACAACGCAATACCCATCCAGCCCTCACTTCTAAAGGCTTCCCGGCAGTGGGGTTGCTGCGCTAGTAGCTCTCGCCATCTTAAATGTTGTGGGTGAAGTGGCCAGAAGGGCGCTGATACCAACAAGCGAGAACTCGTCCAACCACTTCCTGCCTTCGCTTTGTGCACTCACAAAATCGTTTTTTCCTCACTAAAATCACTTATCGCCTTGTTAGAAGTATTTGAACCGCACAACTAATCAATTTCGAACGCGGGGCGTGCCTCTGAAGAAATATGAACACTTCAAATGCTTTTGAAGCAGGAACCAGCAGACTGGGAAGTTATTCCGAGTGTAGGCAGACTCGTACTATGGCGGAGAGGTAGGGTGTCTTATTGAGGGGGTGTTCTTGAATTGCCCTACCGCTGTTTCGCTCACAGGAGTGCGACTTTGCACTTGTGGTTCATATATGAGGACCATATCCGTCATCCTGCCATCGTACACCGTGTTTTCAAATACTTAAGTGATAGCGCAAAAAATATACCTAAAAGCTCTCAGTAGGTGTAAAAGTTGGAGGAACGGGCGAACTTTTTGTATGCATGTCAATCTCGTGCGGTGAGAGTTTGGTCACTATGAGGAAGAAGCGTTGCTAAGTGGAAGACAATGAAGGCAACGAATTGGCAAACTGAAAAGCAATTAAGGTTCGAACCAGAGTTCCAGCAGGTTCCTCTACACTTGTTTTTTTCTTCGCCTAATTTTTCTAAGCTTATCCGACTCTTGCAAGATAATGGTGTAATGTAGGATTTCTCTTGTCCATCTACTCTTTTCCATGCTCCTTCTTTCTTCCCACCGGATGTTCGGCCAAAAAAATGCGACTAGAAAATAACTCTGGACCCTCACAGCAAGAGCACATCTGGCTAAAAGCTCTGTAACCGATGTTTGACGCTCAAACCGCGGAAAGTTGGATAAGTTGCTTGAATAAGGCAGTTTATAAATGTGTTATGCCCTTCGCTTCAATAACAGTCTTTTTTCTGATACCCCGAGTAGTGCAGAAAAAGGTCCTGAATGCCCCTATCACTCCGGAGACCTATTGGAATGACAGGCGCGAATAACCATGGAGGTGCATTCGAAAGATCCACTGTGTTAATTGGGAATAACGTTATCCAAATAGAAACACCTTATTTGAAATTGGTACACCCACCACAAACCTCCTTTCATTCAAAACTTATTAAAAGTCCTCATTTCCAGTGCATTACGTCTAGGTTGCACAAGCAGTCCTTGAAGAACCATCCCAACCTCAACCATGAGCGCACTCTTGTCGTCTGTCTCAAGGGTGTCCACTTTCGCGGCTTCTCAGAAGAACGAGAACGCAGCGACCCTCTTGAATAGCAGTTCCGACGCCTCCCTAGCTGACCCGCCCATTGAAACTAAAAGGCTATTTTCCGTTACGATTAACCCCTTCCTTTTCGGTTCACTGTTAGACGACATTGGCACTGGACGACTTAGGAAATAGTTAATGAGCCATAGGCAGCACGATCTACATTCGATGGCATAAAACAGGCAGGTCCGGACAACACGTTCAGTGAAGCTGCCAGCGGGTACTTAGTGTTCTCCGTGAATTTTTTTCTGGGTTTAAATGTCTCCTCCAGGTTAGTAGCTCCTAGAATGACAATAAGATCTCAATCAATAATTTACTTTCGACCATGGTCCATAGCAACTGCTTAACAACAACCCTACAGCTTTCCTATTTCAAAAACCCACGACTGAGGCAGGTGAGATTTGGAGAAATGAGAGGAGAGAACTCATTGTGACCTTTCGAACTTCAGTTATCACGAGTATCGGAGGAATGGAAAGCACGAAATAGATGAGAGCCAAGCCTGGGGAGTGAGGGACAGGACTAATTCTAAAGTAGAGCATCTATAGAAACCGCAATACGGTCTGCTTTTTGAGCTGGAATTGATGTCTTCGGGGAAGTGCATGTCGTGGTCTTTTCCAAGTCTTGGTCTTCGTGACAACCCTGTAGTTGCCAAGGCCTGACGAGAGTTTTCTGTTCTACTTGTATGTCCCATTGGTCGACCTCACATCCTTGGGGAGGCTCTCGCTATCCAAGAAAGCAGGACTCTGAAAACGAGAACAGCCTCCACCAAGGTTGCTCAGTGGGTTAGGATATTATGTCGTCGTTGAATGTAGCTTCCCACTTTCGTCTTGCTGTCAGGTTAAGTTATCTATCATCTAAGTATCTATCAAAGCAGTTTTTGGCACAATGCTGCCGGGAGACTCGTCCAAAAATGCTCGTCCAATGCCGTGCACCATGAAAAGCTTTTTTGCGAGTATTTGTCCGTTTAGCCTCGATTTCTCTGTGAGCAATTACCTTATTATCTTCCCCGTGCCTTTACTCTTTGTATTAGGTTGTCCCAAAAGTTCGTGAAACTTTCGAACATTTTTTTCGAGTTAAGTTTATTCCAGTGAGAAGCAATTTTGATCAATATATGTTACCTTCATTGGCAACTTGTTGCCAACCACCACGCAATGAGTGGTTGCCTTGCTTCCAGAAGCTTCTTGGTTCTGTGCCCAGAAAGGCAGCTGGGTCATTTTTGAGGTACTATCAAAAATCGTATTTTTTACCCAGAAGATGGTGTATG